GTTTCTAACCAAAATATTTCATAAGAATCCATGTGCGCAGCGATATGTTTTAACTTGGAAAAACATCACAGAATTGTACAATTTATGCAGTGAAGGAATCTACGAATTACGCACACCTAGCTTAAATAAATTAACATAACAACAATAAATTTCAAAGAATACCATGTACACAGCATTTAACTTTAAAAAAAATCTATGAATTGCACAATCTAGTAAGCGAAGGAATCTACGAGCTATGCACACCTTGCTTTAATAAATTAACATAACAACAATAAATTTCAAGAATACCGTGTACACAGCGTTCTGTTTCAACTTTAAAAAACATCTATGAATCGCACAATCTAGGCATTGCACACTAATCAACAAAATAAACTAAAATAACTAAAATAAATTTCAAACAATTAAAACAAAACAAAAAAATAATGACAGAAATTCATACTAAAAAAACAATGAACATAACATTCTACAAAATAAGAACAAAAATAAAATAAAATGCACTTACCATGAATGAATGAATGCTTCTTCGAACAGCAGAAATACCAATTTTATGCCGCCACGTAATCACTATTGCATTTATATGACAGCCAGACTCCCTATCCACAAAATTGATACTATCTTTCACAAATAAATGTTCAAAACCTTCTCTTCTTAAATCCTTGTAAGATTTCCAGCCATATGAAAAAATAGTTGTACCAGGCTCAATCTACTCTTTAATATACTGCATCGGAGTTTCCTTACTTCTATCATGCATAACCACCATAAATAATATCCCAGACCCTCTTTCCACACCTCCAAATACCCACTGCCCCTCAATAGGATGGCCACGATGATATTTCCTTTTGCCGAACTTTGACTCATCAACTTCCACCACTTTATCTTTCACTCCTATCTTCCGAGACCCACAGTATACAAAGTCCAGCTTACATAAATCAGTCATAAATCACTTAAATACCACACATCACATGAACCAACTAGCAACTGAAATCCAAGTTTCCACATAAAAAGGGTTGCCTTAGAAACCAACATTATCCCCAAAACCATCGCAGAACACGCAAGCTTGCCAAAACCATGCGCAAAACACATATCACTGCATTTGGCGATCTGAGGGCACATATAAGAGTAGTACCTTTTTTTTATTTAAAAAAGAAGTTATTCAAAGTATTTTCGCACAATATGTTGCTGAAAATTGATCAGTATAAAACTAAAAGTAAGACATTTAGAATCTATTTTACACAAAGACTCCCCAAAAAAAGTGAAATTCAAGACCAATAAATTTCAAAATATCCTTCAAACATACAAAGTAAGAAATAAAGAAATGTGTACCTGAAATCATGTCAATGCATCCATTTGTCAAGAATGATTGTCAAGAATTTCCAGTACCAAAGAACAAACTTTGCCTATGGAATGTCATACAGGTATTTTGGAATGCATTGACATTTCAGAATAAAATTCTTTTCCCATCTAGTTACAGCTACTTAGGTTTATTATTATTATTTTATTTACATTTTAAAAATTCTGAATACTAAAATATTTTTCATACAATCTCATACTGTTTTTGTATATATTGCAGAACATTCTTCATTCCTGGGCACTGTACATCACTTCTTTGGAAGTAAATTTATGTTAAGCTTAAATCCAAGCCACAGTAATAAATTCAATGAATAAAAACAATGCACTGATGAATGTTAAGGCACTGTAAATGTAACATCAGCATCATATCTGTTATCTGAGATGCCTGATTTTGTCATAATATTCATGATAAATCTATTATCATATTTATTCATGCATTTTTTTAATTTAGTGCAGGGTTCTGAAAAATTTTTATGAAGTCGTGTAATTTTCCGTTCCCTTAAGGAGTTCAAGAAAATGTGCTTCTATAAATTTTAAAATGAATTCATTCATGTAATGATTGTTTTTGGTTTTCTTAATTGATTTTCTTGTGGATTTTGACTGCATGGAGTATGACTGGTGAGACAATAGTGAAGAGCTTTAAGAAAACCAGGATATTTAATGCTTATGATATCTCTGAAAATCAGTGCAAGCAGAAAAAGAGAAATGGATGGTAATGAAGATAACAAGAACAATGACAACTTACATGTTGTAGAGATGACAGACACAGCAGCCAGCATTAAATGTTTTGAGGCATACAAAGTAGACAAGGTTCAAGATACAGGAGTAATGTTAATATTACTATGTAATCTTATTGTAATGTAGTTTTTATTTAAATAAATAATATTGTGATAGTTACTTTTAGTTTACCAACAGATACTTTACATTTGTTATGTTCTTTCTGTAACTGTAACCTTCAGAAATTAAGTATTCACTTAATTCTTCTCTTTTGGTTTTCATATAAAATTAGCAAGAAAACTGTGGGGGGTTAAAATGTGAGTAAATATGGGGCTGATCTTTAGAATATGGTAACTGGTAGTTTGGCGACATTTTTGGAGGCGATAAAGGTTACTACCTGGGACTTTGGTAATAATGTGAGCAGTACTCAGTTCCGATTACGCATTATTTTGTGTGAGGGAAATGAGAGATCATGGATATGTCATGTGATATTAATGGACGAATTACGGTTCTTTAATCGGAAAAGGGGGGAAATCGGGAAAAAATCTGGAAATTTTGTATTTGGCTTTATTCTGTTTTGTGTGAAACAGTGTTTGTTAATTTTTGGATCCCATGGCCCTAACTAAAGTGAATTCGAAATGGGTATTCAGTGGGATTGAAAGGGGTAGTAATAAATGTTTCTTTAAGGTTGTGCGAGATAGAAGTAAAGATGTTTTATTAAGTTATTTATTTTACCTGGTACCTTGGTGTGAACTATAAGTATGATTTTAAAGATCCTGAAACAGAAATAAGAAAAGTTTATCGGACACGTAATCAAGATTCTGAAGAAGAATAAGTAAGTTAGTATTTTTAATTATTTGAGGATATTATTTTTATGCATTGTTCTAAATGTAAGGTGCAAATAAAGTAATTTGCGTAAACGTGCATGGAAATAATTTAAATATTTGACACTAAGTATTTGTAACCATTTGTAATGTTTGCGATATGAATTAGTTAGTGACGCTTGTAATATAATAGATAATGTAGAGGTAAAAGTTTTTGGATATTTTATTTATTTTATACGGGGAAATGTTCATATTTGGAAAAAGTATATACTTTTTTGCGATCAGGTAATTTCACACATGTTCTTTTTACCGGGTTTAAAGATTCAGAAAATTGTTATGCATTTTCATGAAATTTTTCTAATTTATGAGAAAAAAAGCAGTGTACATGGATATAGTGAAGAGTGTGAGCAATGCCATTTTTGTGCCATTCTGGGATGTTTTTTTAAGTAAAAATAAGTCGACGTGTACATGGTTTAGTGATACTTTAATTAAATAATAGTTATTTTGTGAATTTTATGTTTGTAGGAATTTGGTATACGTTTAAGTTGAAGTAAACGTGCATGGAAATAATTTAAATATTTGATACTAAGTATTTGTAATGCTTGCGGTATGAATTCGTTGGTGACGTGTATAATATAATAGATGATTTAGAGGTAAAAGTTTTTGGATATTTTATATGTGGAAATGTTCATATTTGGAAAGGGTATAAATTTTTTCGCGATCAGGTAATTTCATATATGTTCTTTTTTACCGGGTTTAAAGATTCAGAAAATTGTCATGTATTTTCGTGAAATTTTTCTAATTTATGAGAAAAAAGCAGTGCACATGGATATAGTGAAGAGTGTGTGCAATGCCATTTTTGTGTAATTCTGGGATTTTTTTTAAGTAAAAGTAAGTTGGTGTGTACATGGTTTATGTGTATGTGTTATTTTGAAAAACGCATAAGGAGTATGGTATTGTGCACTTTTTCCCAATTTTGCAGTGAATATTTGTCATGATTAAGCAGTTTTGTTAGATAAAATTTCTAGCATAAGTGTAATTCAGCTAGTAGATTGTTGGAAGAAGTGTTCAGTAGATAAAAAGAAAAGAAACATGTCTTTACTTTGTGAAGACAAAATGGCGGCGGGAAAAAAAAAATAGAGGGTTGCTGTAGGAGAGTTGGTCGCCAAATTTTCGCCAGGTTACCATAATGTAAAGATCAACCAAATATGGTTTTTAAATATTAGCATATTAAAAGATTTCTTAAAAATGGAATGGTGTGTGCGAGAGGGGTTACTTTGAACCAGGTCACTGGCATATCTCTCATCAGAACAAAGCAATTCATGCAAAGAAGAATTTGACTACCTTCGAATGTTATAATAGCTATCTGCAAAACATACCAAGCATTTTAAATGAGGCTAAATGAATTGTTTATTGACACAATTGCTGAAGCTTATCAACTGTTTAAATTTTTTCTCACAAATGCATGAAAGAGATAAATTTCTAAATTTTGGAGAACTACTCTAAAATATTTCTGCCTTAATTTCTCTTCCCCCTGCCCCTACTTAGGTGAGTAAGATACAATGTAAGCTAAAAATGACTTAAGAATTGCAAAACACTTTGCTATTTAATAACAAAATATTAATATTACAATAAGACTGAAGCATTAGTAACTCTTACTTCTTTTATTTACAAAAATATATGAAACTCATTATTTCTAAAAATATACACTTTAATCATTTCCGAGTTCAGTTTAATCTTTTTTATCACAAATCATGCATGTATATATAAGTTTGGATATCTGATTAAGGTCTGATGATTAAAAATCAATATATCTGAAAAATAATATACATTCATATTTAAAGTAATATTTATGACTGTTACAGTTATATTTTTCACACACAAGAACTTTAATGTTAAAAAAATACTTCTTTGAGATTTAATAGAAAACATATTTGAAGTTAGCTACCATAAATTTCTTATTTAATTTGAAAACTCTATCATCAGCATCACGTAAGAACCATACATTTATACTTTTTGCAGTTTCTACTACAATCTCATGAACCAACAATTTTATGAGCATAAAAAAGAATCCTTTAACAAAAATACTATAAATAAAAATAAAACTACCTTTCTTAATTTTTTGGGTGGAACACGTACACTTGGTAAGAGAGATTCGTCAGAAGAAAGAGTATCCTCCAGAGGTACTACTTCCATTTCTCTCATGATGCGTAAAGCTAATGGTTCATCTAAAATATCTTCTTCTTTAGTATACATCTTTTCTGAATAGATTTCTTTAGAAAGTGTTCTTGCCATTTTTTGAGGCTTATTTTGTTTTTGTGACCTAAATAATTTAACTTCATTATTAGTTTTTCACAAACTATTTGCTTAAAAGGAACAAATCGTATAAAAACATTGGTTGGAACTAAGTGACTGAATTTATTAACACTAAATATTCTCATTCATTTCAGATCATTTTAAATAACTGTCTTATACTTCATTTACAGCCATAGCAAGCAGAAAAGATAAAATTCTAAATTTATAAATTATTTTTATTTAATATCAGTTTAAAATTCTATGCTGAAAATATTATTCTAGTTATTATTTTTTTTTTAAAAAAAAAGGGTTCTCTTTCTTATTAGATTTACCAAAATAAGGTATGATTAATTCATGAAGGATAAACTCTTTAATAGCAAAAATTGCTTCCAAAATTATTAATATTTGTAAAAAGAAAATAATACACTTAACTTAAATCCAAAGTTTTAGATCATAATATAGAATGCCAAAGCAAGCAAATGCAAAACAAACAAAAATTACGGAAAGATAGCAAAATATAAATGATAATTAGATAACAGCAGGTGAAGAATAAAAAGTACATTTACGAAGGAAATTTACAAGCAGTCAATAATGAAATTTTTCTGTCTGTGAAATGTACCTTATTACATTCACTACAGTAACTGGAAAGTAAAAAAAATAATAATAATAATAATAACATACAAACATTTCGGTTAATAATAAAAGAAAACCACATGATAAAAACTCAATGTACAACTGAAATCTACATGCAGCACAGAAAATACAATGCAAAACATATGAAAATATCATGTTAGTTAAATAATACTCATTCATAATACTGCAAGAGAACGATTATTGGATTTATTTAAAAAACAAAATCTTAGAATAATCAGAAAATATAATTTAAGTGAGAAAAAAAAATGCTTCAAGCATCAAACAAAGAGAATGGGGAATAGAAAATAAAAAATCAGCATAAAAATGTCAGAAATTGCAAAAGGCTAATGAATGCTAAATAAAAAAGCATAATATAAATTCTGGAAATTTCACCGCTCAAGAATTAAATACATATATATATATCCAAAGATTGTAGTTTACCTTAACCACAAGAGCAATCGGTGAAATTTGAAAGAAAAATTTAGATCATAATTACAGTAGGAAATTAAAAATAACAACAAATTTATTTCTGCTAATTTTAGATAGCTCTCTTCCCGTTGGCGCGAAAGACTTATTTATACGACAGCTTACGAAAGAGATCAAGTTCTCATAGCCTATTATAAATCTTTTGCAAAAACACGACTTTTCAAGGTTGAAGGAGTTAAATCTAATTGTGAAAAGTCAGGCTGAAATCTAAATGTTAAAGATTAAAGGCGCTTTTCAAAAGAAGGTCTATGTAGTTAACAGGAAGAGTACGATTCATATCGGAGATTACGTTTCGATTAAATGATAAGACTGATTTTTTTTTACTGCGCACTAAAGGATAACAAGTGTGAAGACAGATACCTTAGCATGCTTAAATTAAGAAGAAGAATTAATCAGAATCATTGCAAATTCATTATTACAGGAAATTTAGCAAAAGTTTTATTTCTGCCGCCAGAACTGGATGGTTACCTATTGCCAGACCGGGCAATGAAATAATTGGAAGTGAAGGGAGTACGGTTTGGTGAAAAAAAGTTTTGATCCATTGTAAAATAGTTATAAATTTGAAAATCGCAATAATTTTATGCAAGAAAATACTCCAGTATAATAAAAAAGGGGTATTTCGCCTAATTTTTCAAAATATTTATTCGTAGCTATATTAAAAAAAATTGAATTACATAGGTTTAACAGGAAAACTGTTTGTCCTTTAAATAAAGTAATTGTATACTTTATAACATTTTAATTCGTGTGTCAGATAAAACATAGGATGTACACCTTGCACAAAAAAACATAGCACAGTTTTATAGCTCCCGTTCTACTGGGTCCGACTGTCGAAATTTAACTTGCGTTTGCATGTCTGGAAAACGCGAATTAGAATATATATAAGATTTACACATAGCAATTATTCTAACATAGGTATTTTGACACAAAATTGGACTTTTTCTGAAATAGCATGCCAATTTTTTTTTCCATATTTCGATTCTACGACTCAAATTATGCCAAACTGCCAAGTTTTGTAAAAAATCGTACGCGTAGTTTTTAAAAAAATTAGCTGTGAAAATTTTAGCTTTTCCATGTTAATTTAATTTGGTATGCATTTATTAATATCTCTTTTTTATTCCTTTCACATTTCGAAATTTAGGTTCTTTGTAAATAAAATTCGCCAATTTTTTTACAATTTATTTTAAAAATTTTTACTTTTAAAACAATTTTACAAATTTTTCGAAAACGTTTTAGAATAATTACCTATAAAAATAATTATCTATAAAATTTTGATCAACCATCAACTTAAATCAGATGTTTTCCTAAGCATGTCTGCAAAAACTAGAGTTTTTTTATTCAAAATTTCAAGATATACATGAATTTATGGGATAAGGTTCGGAGAACAGACTTAACGCTAAAACGGGGAGAAACAGCATATTATGGTAGACCACGTTATGGTTGTCATCCGATGACGTACTTCTTCTAAGAGGACAGCGTAATACTTTTTCCCTGCTAAGGAATTATCCGTAGCAGCAGATCGGGATACGTATTAGGAAAATATTATTATGTTTGCTATTTCCTTATCAAGCAAAGAGTATTAAATTAGAAATAGCACATAATTGAATAAAATATTGATAATATATGTAAAAATAAGTGTCTTGCACCTGCAAATATTTATTTAATGCTTTATTTTCTGTTTTCTTTTGCTTTGTTATGCTTCCCTGTACTCATCGATGTACAAACATGGTTTATTCTATAGTTTTTAGTATTTATTTTATGTGCATTGATTGCAAGTAATCTATAAACATTTTCTTGTAATTAAGACACAATAACACGCCGAATAAATACAATTCAGAAGTCAAACAACAAAAATCAGCGTTATACCTACAAAATTTTGTAGGTATAACGCTGATTTTTGTTGTTTGACTTCTGAATTTTCTTGTACTTTCGTTCTTGCAATGTGTGCTTTCATATCGTAGTGCAATAAAATAAGTCAATGTGCGCTTTCATATCATATTCATAGTTATGTACAGTAATCTGACTTCAGAGGAACTTTAAATTTGCCTATAGAGTAGCAGTTTTACTTCACAGTTGCTAGAAATATCTGGCTTAAACAGACCTAAGTTCTCAGACTAAACATATTTGCAGTATATTTGTTCTGGGACATTTGTAGCCTCAGTCTGATATTTAGTTTATAGCAGATTTAATATATTTAGTATTAATTGTACGAATTAGAAATAATAATAACTTTTTATAAATATGTATGCGATAAATTTGTGTGCTGTTAGACATGGTAATGCTTTCAAGTCTTAATTGTTCAAAATTCAACAAAATGCAATTTCATTTTTTAACTGCAGTATAAATATAAAAATTTCATTAAAATTACTAAATTTCATTAGTATGTATCCTGCTAGAAGGATACATACTTTGTAGTATTTAAACACATATTTAGTTACATGCATTATGTAATGGAAAGAGTAATTTGCATTAAACATTTCCTCATCTTAATAGTATTTTATATATATGTAATGCATTATGAACTCAGAAGTCTCAATAAATTTTAATAAATTAATATTTTCTGGTGTCATAAAATAATGCAGTTAATAAAAGTGGATTTAAATGCTATAAGAATAAACTAAAAATAGTTTGTTTCATTTTTTATTTTAATTATCATAAATATAAATCATCTCCAACTTACAGAATGTGATAGTAAAAATTTTGCAGTGTTTCCTTCATGATTTATTTAATTAAATTAAGAAAACTGAAGTCCTTGGTAATTGTTTATGTTACAGCAAGATATTTGAGAATTGTTGTAAATGAATTGTACAAATAGATAATGCAAACTTCATGCATTACAATGACAGTGGATCTTGTTTACGAAACAGAGATTGATTCTACTGCAGACCTTGTCAGCCTGTAGGGTTTATATTTATTTTAACTAACATTTATTTTAAGTTTAAACTATCTTTCCTGTCAAGCCTTACTTTCCCCTGGAACTGCCAATGCCAGAATATGTAAATTTTAGTAGAACGCGCAAGGATTCAAATTATCAGCGGAAGTATTCTGATTTAAATAGAAGGAAACGAGTTCGGTGTGTGATATTCTTACATGCACGAGCGCGGAGGTAGTTAGCGAGAATTGAAGAACCCCGCGTTGCGGCCTATGTGCTTGGCGAGAAGTAGTGGTAATCGTTCCAGTGAGCTTCAAGTCTGCTGAATTAGCAGCGGTATTGTAAAACGCGGTGAGTTAGTTATTTTAGAGAGCCTCGTAGTTAGAATCTTGTCTTTACTTTCTTTTCAGGTTATTATTTTTATTTGACTGCCAAGTTGGCACACTCTGTGAGCGTCAAGAGCACGCAATTGTAATTTTATTACGTTGAATAAAAAGGGACTTAACCCCTTCACAAGGCTCTGTCTTTTATCCAGTTTTCACAGTCACCTCTTGGTTGCGTGCAAGTTGGAGGCGCGCAACGTTATATTGGCGCCCGAACACTTATCGAACTGAAATGGCCGAAAATTGGATGGAAGCCGCTGGACAACACCAAGAAATGACAAGTCAGTTAGAAGGATTTGCATACCTGGTCCAGACTTTGAGAGCATCAATCAAGCCAAACGTCCATTTCGACGGAAAAAATTCGGTGGCGGTATTTTTAGAAGGTCTAGAAAACCACTTTCAGCTCTACCCTGTGCCTTTTCCTGAAAGACAAAAAGTTGCCATCGCCACATCAGCACTAAGAGGACAGGCCGCGCTATGGTGGGAAAAATATAGGCAAATTTCTTCTAGGTGAATTTGGAAGCCCGACATATACATTTGAAAAAATTTCAAAAAATCGTTAGTAAAGGCCTTCCCCATAGTGAAAGATAGCGCACGGCTGGAAGCCGAACTATATAGATTCTACCAACGGGATACAGCAGAATTGACGGACTTTATTTTACGAAAAATCAAGCTACCTGATATGCTGTATGGAAAAAACCCGATGCGGAGATAATTGAAATAATATTACCAAGATTGTTACCCGCTGTCCAAGACTACTTTGAAATTAGAAACCCAAGCACATTGCAGGAACTCTTTCGAATTGGCGGTGAAGTTTCAAAATCGCAGAATAGCGGAAAAGAGCGAGAGGGGAAAACATATTCTCAAAGTACCCGAAGGAAGGAGGAAACCAGAAATGTAAATCGCTCTTATGGGGGAAAGAACTATCAAGCTAACGCATCGAAACTCGAAGGTCAAGGCCCAAAAAGAAAATTTGAAAATAAACATCCGCGTACCCAGAAGACACAGATTGAAAAGAAAGCTTTAAACGAGTAGAGGGGCCTGTGAAAGGGAGGGTCCAGACCCGGAAGTTCGGAAGTTTTAAAAAAAAACCCTCAAATAGACATTTAAACACGGTCATCGTAAAAAAACTCACAGCTACCAATTATACAAGTCCTGGTTGGCGATGTACCAGTAGAAGCCCTCATAGATACAGGAGCAGAAGGAAATTTTATGAGTGAAAATTTCTTCAAAAAGAATTTTTATAGGATTACGACTATTTAAAACCAGAAATACGGAAATTATAGCAGCGCAAGGAAAAACATGTCACTGCATCGGGAAATTATCATTAAACTTACAGGTAAAAGAGGAAAATCTCAAAGTATTAATTTTTTGTGGTGAAAGACCTGCAACACTCTCTTATTTTAGGTATGGACTTTTTAAGGGCCGCGAGGGCCAAATTAAATTTTCAAGATAGTTCCGTGGTGTTGGAGATGGACCAGAGGGTGGTGGTGGAACCTGTGGAGACACCTGAAGTGGACCTTAGCCATCTGAATGACCATGAAAGTAAAGCAATACAGCAAGTGGTGAGTAATTTTTCTCATTTGTTTTCAGAAAAACCAGGAAACTGCCAGATAGTAACTCACAAGATTCAATTAAATGCCGAAAAAAACCTTGTAGGACTAAACCGTATCGTTATGATAAACAAAAAGACCTAATCATCGAAGAACATATTCAGGAGATGTTAAAGAATAAAATAATAACGCCCATAAATAGTGAGTACGCGAGTCCAGTCGTACTATGTAGGAAAAAGAACGAGTTTCCTCTTTCGGATAAAAGGGCTTGGAGCTGGAGGTTTGCTATTGATTACAGAAAACTAAATAGTATTACTAAATTTCCAGTTTACCCTTTGCCGGTTATAGACGAGATCATTAGACAGATCAAATCGACAAGATATATGTCTACTTTGGACTTAACGTCTGGCTACTATCAAATAGCTATGAGACCCGAAGATATACATAAAACCGCGTTTATAACAAAATCGGGCACTTATGCATTTTTACGCATGCCCTTTGGGTTGTGTGGGGCCCCATCAACATTCCAGAGAGAGCTATGGACATTGTTCTAAAGCCTGTCCTAGGAAAATCAACTTTAATTTATCTAGATGATATAAATATAACGAGTAGTAGTACGTTGGAACAACACATTAATGACCTCGAACAAGTTTTTAAATTATTA